TCCATTCCCGTTCCCGTTTCTATTCCCATTCACATTCCCATTCCCGTTCCCATTCCCATTGCCATTATCATTACACTTACCATTGCCGTTGCCATTGCCATGGCCATTATCATTGTCATTGCCATTGCCAATCTCATTGCCATTGTCATTACCATTGCCGTTGCCATTGTCATTGCCATTGCCAATCGCTACCCCCTTACCAGTACCATTACCGTTACCATTACCAGTACCATTACCTCTGTCATTACCATTACCATTACCATCACCATTGCCATTGCCATTCGTCACTACCATTACCATTGCCAGTACCATTTCCACTCCCATTCCCATTACCATGATACTACCGCTGCCATTACCATTAGAATTCCCATTCTCATTCCCATTCCCAATACTATTACAATTTCCAGAACCATTACCATTACCAGTGCCATTACCATTACACTACCACTATCATTTCCATTCCCGTTCCCGTTCCCATTCCCACTTCCATTCCCATTACCATTACCATACCATTACCAACTGCCATTGCCAGTACCATTACCATTACCATTACCTTTAACTCTACCTTTACCTCTACCCTTACCATTACCATTACCATTGCCATGGCCATTACCATTGCCATTGCCATTGCCATTGTCATTGCCATTGTCATTGCCATTGCCATTGCCATTACCATTACCATTACCGTTGCCATTGCCATTGTCATTGCCTCGCTACCCCGTTACCACTATCATTACCGTAACCATTACCAGTACCATTACCAGTACCATTACCATTACCATTACCATTGCCATTGCCATTGCCATTGCCATTCGATTGGATTTCAGTAGGAATCATTCAGTGGAGGGTTTCAGTAGGAATCCACATGTGGAGGATTTCGGTAGGAATCATTCAGTGGAGGGTTTCGATCGGAACCCTTCTGTCGAGGATTTCACTGTGAATCCTTCTTATGGGGGCGTTCAATAGGAATCCTTCTAGGGGGGAGGGCAGATGTGGCCACGTCGCATTCCTTGTTTTTTTTCTCCTGGCGTTCCCACCCCCCAAGAAAAACAAAACACATGTTTTTTTCCTGGGGGGGAGGGGGGGGGGGGCGCCAGGAGAAGAAAGCAAAAGGCAGAGAGGTAGGAGGAGGGGGAGAGGGAGGAGGCGGAGGAGGAGGAGGAGGAGGCGGAGGAGGAGGAGGAGGACGACACAGAGCAGAGTTTGCACAGAAACAGTCGCGAACTCAGCGCGAAAACCTTGCGCGCGCGCTTTTGAACCCCTGCGACTCCACAATCCCCCGTTCTCGAGGAGGAGGAGGAGGAGGAGGAGGAGGAGGAGGAGGAGGAGGAGGTGGAGGGGAAGTGGAAGGTAGCAAGGACTTTTGCGCAGCGCGTCGCGGCGGCGGCCCCAGCGACACGCCATGCCGTGCAGGCGGATGCCGCGTCGCTCCGCCACGTGGGGCGGGAGGCCGGGAGCAGCTCGGGACGGCGACGCGCAGGAAGAGGGACGCGGAGAGCGTGTCGGGCCAGAACGGGCGGAGCGACACGCGGAGCCAACGTCCCCGACCCGCGGGAGGGGAGGGTACTGAACCCCTATCGGCGAGGCACTGGCGCTCGGGGCCGATGCTTCCCCCCCCCCTTCCCCCTCGGGGGTAGCTCAAGGTGCCCCTGGGCCAGAAAGGTGCCCTCGGCTTTTCGCTGAGTCCTGGAGCCCCTGGCTTTCCCCTCTTCCGCTCCCCCTCGGGGGTGGCCAAAGGTGCCCCTGGCCCAGACGGTGCCCCCAGCTTTTCGCTGAGTCCTGGAGCCCCTGGGGGCCCCCTGGGCAGAGGGCCTCGTGATGGGGTGCTCTGGAGGGCGTGGGGGCCCCCTTGGAAATCCTGGGGGCACCTTGGGCCAAGGACACTTCTAGCAAGACCGGACCCCCGGGCCAGCCCCTCCCCCCCCCCCCTCCCCCAGATGTTCCCTGAGATCCGACGCTGCGAGAATGGGTGCCGCATCGCGAAAAGGTCACGGCCGGATCCCCGCACCCCACCTTTCTCTGCTGCATGTGTCGAGCCCGATCGACCCGGGATGGCCTGGGGGCCCGAAATCAAGGCGGAAACGCCTGGTGTGGACAAACACGCGACGCCTGGATCTCAAAGGGTTGCGCCCCTGACACCTCCACGTCGCCGTGCTCGTGCGGCTCGTGGCCGAACCCGTCCTGCGGGGAGGCGGGACAACAGCCCCAGCAGGAGCACGCCTTGGCCGGCGGAGGCGGTCGATGAACCTCAGAACGTGCGCTGGCGCCAGCGTGCGCTTGTCCACCGGGGCCCTTCCAAGCGACGCACGGTGCGAATGGGGGCCGGCACGGGCATCGTGCCGTCGCCGGAGCGGAGCGGAGCGGGGCAGCCTCGGCTGCTCTGGGGCGCAGCCGAGCCCGCTGGTGCTGTGCGCCCCCTGTGGAGGCGCACGCCCGAACTGAGCACGCATGGACTGCAACCAAGACCTTCGGCTAGCAGGACGAACCAACAACGCACACCCATACCCATAGGGGGCAATCAAGACCTTCGGCTAGCAGGACGAACCACCAACACACGCCCATACCCATAGGGGGGTCGGAGAGGGCTATGGGTGCGTGCTGTCGGATGGGGGTCCCCGCTCGAACGGGAGCGCTCCCCCTAGGGTCCGACGACCCGCACCCACACCCATAGCCAGCCCTCCTCCCAACGACCCCCTTGCGGGCATGGGTGTGTGTGTGTGTGTGTGTGTGGGTGTGTGTTGTTCGCTCGTCGTAGCACGCGTCCTGAGGATCCTCGGGGCGGGCACGGCCCGCGCCGCTGGAGCGCGCGCTGCGCGGCGCGCGCGCGCGAGCCGAGGCGCGAGGGCGAGAGGACGCAGCTCGCGGCACGCCCCCCCCCCGGCAGCCGACGCGGGTGCGCGCCGGGGCCCGCCCCGTACACCGCGCGGGGCGGCGCCGTCTCCGCGGGCACGGGGCCCGCTCGCAGTGCGCCCCCCCCCGCCCCGGTAGCAGAACGTGGTCTAGTGACTAGTGAAAGCGACCTCGGGCTCACCCCTGGCGGGCGGGAGCCTGGGAAGTGGCGGCCGCGTCGCCCTCTCGAGGACCGAGAGCGGGCGATCGCGACTCGACGTGGCAGGGTGGGGGGTGTCCTGTCCGCCCCCGGGCCTTCCTCAGAGCGGAGGACGCTGAGCGTTGAAGAGCAGGAGGCCTCCGCTTGGCAGCGCGCACGAGGGGGTAGCGCGAGGGGTGCGGCCTTCGAAGAGGCCGGGGGAGCTTCTGAGAAGGCAGGGGCCCTCTCCGCAGCCGCTCCCGGCTTCCTGACGAGGCCCTCCGAGAAGCCTCCAAGCCCAGCCTTGTGAGAAGCGCACCTGGCCTCAGAGGGCCCCCCCCCCCTCGCGACACCCCCTTTTTTTTCCACACGCCGAGCGTTACGACGGATTTCGTTTTTTTTGGAGGGCGACGAGGGAACGAGGGAGAGGAGGAAGACGAGGCCGAGGAGGAAGACGCCCCCTCTCGACACCCCCCTGTGCGCGCCGCTGATCCAGAGTGGAGGTCGAGCCTCGATGTGGGAGGTTCTCGGAACCCTTCTGGGCAAGCAAAGCGGCTGATACCGAGCGGCAGAGGCCCGCAAACACAAGCGAGTCGGCAGTTCGCATGTCGACGCGGGGCCTCTGATCGCGACGCCGTCCGCGAGCTTACTTACGATCGTCAGATACGACCAGCGGAGGGATATTCGGAATAGAAGGGAAGAGGAGGGGGCGGGGAGGAGGACCGGAGAAGAGAAAAAGGATAGACGTGCAACCATCGAGCCCGCGTTGTCATCGTCGAATCGATAAGTCGGGTCGGATCGCATCGGAACGCACATCGAATCGAACCGCACCGGCACGGAGGCGGAATCGGGCCGGCTGCGCCTGGATGCACAGCGGCGCCGTGCAAGCAGCAGGGGATACCGCACGTGGTCGGAGCTTTGGCATCGGACTGGAGCGGGCCGGTCGGAGAAGGCACGGTGGAGGTTTTAGATAAGGATGCCTTCGATAAGGAACCCAGGGCCTCGCGACCGATGGGCGGCCAAACGTGGGACACCCACCTCGCCTTGAACCATGAGGAATGCGCCAGGGTCTGGGCCCCAGGAAAACGTTCCTTATCCAATGCCGCCGCCGCATCGAATCGGATCGACCAGATCAACATGGAGCCTGTCCCCGTCCCCTCAGTCCAGCACCACTGCTGCGGCCATTACCAGGGGTGCCCTGGTGGGGCAGCCGTCGCCCGCGCCCCGAGTTCAGGCTGTCGGCTCGCTGCGCTCCTGGGAGGCTCTTAGCGAGTCCGCCCTCAGGGATCGCCCCACCTGTAAGACGAGGCCAAGACAGGGACGAATTCGGGTGAGGATGAATCGAGAATCTCTGAGATCTGGCGGCTCTGGAAGATGTATTGGGCGCCGCGGCCTTCTCAGAGCATTCCGGACCGCTCTGAAAGCGTTCCGGAACGGTCTGGAACGGAGTTAGCGTTGTCCCAGCCCCGCCCGAACTTGGCCGCCCTTCGCGGACATCCGAGGCGCGCGACTCATGCAATGCCCGCCGTCGAGCCAGAGCCCATGCCGCTGCGGTATCCGACCGGCTGGGGTCGCCATCGAATCGGACCGACAGGATTCCTCTCGCTTCGCGGGGTGCACGTCCGGAGCACGTACAGTCACGTCGTCGCGGGGCCTCTTGGGAGCCTCTTGGGGGCCTCCTGGGAGTTTCCTTTGGCCTCTTGGGGACTTCTTTGGGGCCTTTCCCCCCTCCCTCCTTTCCATACACCCGACAGGATCATCAGACGAGCGCCTCCTCTCCGTCCCCTTCCTCCTCCCAGAGAGGGGGAAAGCGAAAGGGGGGGCGGCAGCGCAGGAGCGGGGCGGGGGAACAGATCGCCGGGGGAGCCGCGATGGGCCCCCCATACAGCAGATCCGCGCGCTCCTGGGCGGGCTATCGGGTCCTTCTCGGCGGTCCACGGGCGATTGGGGCCCGACGCGCTCCCCTCCTCCTCCTCTTTTCTTAGCCGAGCTCCGAGGCGGTCCACCGCCTGTAGCGTCAGTGAGCGCCTGGCCAGGCGACCCCTCCCCGCGCACACGGGAGGCAGCCTAGCCAAGCGCCCAGTGGCAAGCAAAGCACAAGCACAGTATGGAGGACACCCTCCTGGCAAGGCAGGCGCAACCTGGAGCTGGCGGGTACACACGACGGACAAGTAGACTCCAAAACAGGATCAACGCCCTTCGCCAGCTCCAGCATGCGTCTCAGAAAGGACGCTCACGCCAACCGTCGAGCCCGCACGGGTCTCGAGGGCCGGCAAGGGCCTCCTGCTCGAACGGGCTACGCGCGAGAGAAGGAGAGCAACAGGAAGTACATGACGTAGATGATGTGAAGAGAGGGAAGGCAAGGCTCGCCCCTGGTAGCACGCCGCCAGGACGACGAGTGAGCTCAGCACGAATTTGGGGGACGGGGAGGCTTGGGGTGGCGCTCGACGGTTTATTTCACCCGCCTTACCACTTGCGCCTCCCGTGCCCTCCCCGTCCCCTACAGAAGGCCACGCGGCCTCCCCCTTGGTCGGCCCCTCGATAGTTCAACTACTCCGTGGTAGCGCAGAGCACGAGTAAGGCCTTCGTACACGAGGGGCCACCAAGGGGGTGGCGAATACGATTTCTCCTCCTCCGCCAACTAAATCACAAAACCTCCTCCACCGCCACATCAAGAACAGGCTCAAATATCTACTCGGCTACGATGGGAAATCCACGATGTGGTCATAAAGAGCGCGCCGATCAGAAGACGATGAATGCCTGGTCGGACTTGGAGCCGACCTGCGCGAACATCTGCACCCTGCGGAACACGGGACAGCGCCTCTAGGTTCAGGTGCGTGTTGATCAGGAGGAGGTGGTCAAAAGAGCCACCATCGTAGTCGTGCTGGTCAAGGATTGTGAACTGGATACCCATGGGCTCGAGCAGCGTCCGAATGTCGGTGCGAGGAGATATCGCACGATGGAGTACATGCTTCCCGCCAATCAACGCCGCAGGAACGCCCATGGCACGGGCTGTGGCGATCATATACAAGGCGCGTGTAAGTATTTCATTTTCCAGATAAAGATGATGCTGCCTTTTTGCCGTCCAGTGCGGGCGCCATTGATCGTCTCTTCGAGGTTGCTGGCCTTGCTCAAGGAGGTCAAGGTCGCGAGACCACTCTGGAAGATCGGTCTCAATGAAGAGGGCAAATACTCCTCCTTGCATCATTTCCAAGTATAGGACCTCCGTGGCAGAATCTGTGAAGCTATCAACGGCGATGCACTGACATGGAATAGAGAGCACTGAAGTCACCCAAGATGCGAAAGTGGTTGTCGTGACCGTGGTAATGTAGACTACTTTGGCAGGCTCGCCTTGCTTCCAAAGATGTCGTCGCAGTACCCGTCCCAACGGAGGCTCAACATCTACCAGCACAGCGGGTGCCTCCAATGGAATATACTCGAATGGGCTGAGGCCTTCTCCGCCATGACATGCAGGAATCCTGACACGAGTCCGATGGTAACCTTGACGCTGAAGAGCGCGCTGATGAACCAAGTCTTCCTGGTGTAGTTGCGCAGCGGATTCTTGATCAAGAGGAACGAGAGCTTCCAACAGCCAGTAGAAACAACGGTTACCTGGGCGGCGCAAATGTCTAATGAGATTGGCACGATCGCTGAATCTAGTCGTGCAGCAGCGACACGTGTTGTCGAAAGCAAAGCGCTGGGCAAGGTCGAGCGGCTGGTGCCGTAGCAAATGAATCCTCCAACTGGCTTTTGTAAGAAGAACAGCCCCACACTGGTAACATATGAACCCTGTGGACGTTGTCGCCGTCTTTGAATTATCAAGCACCCGCTGAAGATGTCGAAGTAATGCAACTAGACGTAGTCTGTCAAGTTCGGCGGCTCGAAACCTTCGCCATGCACGGCCTACTCGAAGACGAAAGGAATGCGGATCGTTCTGAATGTGCTGGAAGGCTGAAGACAATGTGGTGGGCTCGGTCTGCTTGTCGTACTCATCCAACCACTGGAGGTCGAGCTGCAAGAGGGACGTCCAAGAGCCAGGCAGTCCCGCGACGAAGTCCACCATGGCAAATAGGATCTTGGGAGCATTCGCAAACAATGTGCAAAAGTAGATAAGGCGACGACGCCTAACAACCGTATGCAGCGGAGTGCGCATGGCTTTCACAAGGACTTCCTCATCGAAGAAATGACGAAGGCTGCCAGCATGGTGCTTGCGAGCTTGTAGTACCCGATAGGAGGAAATACGCGGTGAATCCAGCATCTTGAAGTCGTTCGCCGTAAGGTTGTTCCACACTTCAGTCGAGTAGAACAAATGGATGTTGCACATCGAGTCGGTCAAACACGTGTGGCTTATCGCTGTCGTAGAAGGGAACTTCTTGATCATACGCTTAATAGGACCAAACGCCTGAGCTTGCTTTGCGATAGCGAACTTAATCTTATGCGAGTTCTTGGCCTGGACATCGATAGGCGTACCCAGGTACTTGTAGGACTCCGTGAGATGCACTTGTAGATTCCAATAAGGTGTCTGAAGTCGAAGCTCGCCTTCTTGGTTAACCAGTCGGAAAAGCTCAGAGTCTCGGCGATGCGGGATGAGCATGACATTGGTCTTGGAGCGCTTGTAGTTGACTTGGAAGCCGTGGGAAACCATGACGAGGTGGATGTCGTCGAGCAGCTGACCAGCGATGTCGACGGTGGAGCTGTCGGAATGGTTGCAGCCCAAGAAGATCGCATCGTCGACGAAGGAGGCGTCCGCCAGCTCGATCTGCTCAGCGGAGCGCGAGAAAATCAATTCGTTCTCGGCCATAGTAATCGCTGTAGAGAGGCGCAAGGCGCGCATCTTGTCGCGGGCCAGTGCGAGAGGGGCGGCAAATCCAAGATTGAATATGGCATCAGCCAACGCCGAACCTGGGCGGCTCCCCCGCCGAGAGCGAGCAACTAGATCACCTTCACGAGTGCCGAAATGCGTTGCACGGTGAGCTTCAATGAGTAATGCAATCAGGTGTGGTTCATGCTCGATCTTGTCAATCGCTGCCGGCTGAGAGAGAACAAAGGTCACCATCGGCAGCATGGCGATGGGGAAGTCGTGGTGCTGCTGGACGTAGTCTTCATCGTCATGTAGATGCAAGGCAGGGAGGACCTGATGCCGAACAGTGGAGTAGAAGGCAGAGACCAAGTCGAGGAACACAATGATGCCATCCGCACCAAACCGAGGAAGCCCTGCTATATATGAATGTACCAAGTGGATAAGTTGAGCAGGACCATGGCGTACTTGACCACCACATTGAGTATCATGAAGAAGATGATGGAGATAAGTCGCAAGCTGCCTCCTGATGAACTTATGCCAAAGTTTGGAAATAATCGGGTTGAGCAGGATCGAACGAAAATAGGCAAGATCGTGGTCAGGACCCACACCTTTATGGAGAGGATGTACTATGCCGTGCTTCCACGCGTAGGGCTCCTGCTGGTGGAGGGCGCACTTCACCAGGATCGGGTGGTAGATGCGTGCAAGTGTCCTAGGTGCAGCAAGGAGAAGCTCAGGAAGTATACCATCACGACCTGGTGCTTTCCGACGCTTGAGGGTAGCAAAAAGCTCTGACACCTGACCAATGCTCGGGACAAGATCTGGCTTCAGCTCGACCTGGGTGGGGTTGTGATTGAGCTTGGAGTTGTAGTAGGTAACGAGCTCCGTGTTCGTCATGAGCTCGGCGTCCTCTGTGGTGGCGAAATGCTCAATGATGATGCGGCTTTCGTCCTCGTCCGTCATGGCAGGGCGGCCTGCGGAGTCCACAAGCATGAGGTTGCGCTCCTTGCGTCCCTTTCGTCCGCCATAGCGTAGGATAGTCTTCAGCGTGCGCCATTCGGACAAGTGGTCTCCCGCTTCAGCGTGCTGCCGCATCTGAAGTCCAAGCCGTTCCAAGAAAGCACAACGATCTTCTCGAACACAATCGCGAACTATACGCTTGGTGTTGCTAAGGAAGAGGGCGAGCTCATCTACGAAGTCAGTCGAGGAAAGGTCATGACAGGACATAGCCTCAATGGCCAGGCGTAGGCGTTGGAGCTGAGGTTCCCAAGGGACGTTCGTCAAAAACAAAATGCCATCGGCACGATGTGCAAGAAGATCAGCCCAGGGAGGTCGCCGTTCGTCGTGACAAGGAAGCCATCGCCTCGCACGCGCAACATACCTACGAAGCCGAACAAGGTACATCGTGGTGGACGAGACGTACCCTTTGATGGACGTGACGCGGTCCATACTAAAGCAGGCTCTGGCTGCGTTCAGGACGGCGGAGTCGGCGAGCTGCTGGTGCAAGTTCACGTCCAGGCGCCAGGGGGGGATCTCGAGAGCGTCCAAGATCGCACCGTACTTCGCTATCAACTGGGGGTCTTGCATCTTCTCACGGTCGAGCTTTGTGCCAGGGCTATTGGGCTTAGGTTTCATCACCTTCCATGTCAGGTCAAGCACCACCGGGTAATGATCATCAGCGACGGCGTAAGAGTCAAAAGCATAGTCGACGAAGAATCGCGAAGTATGGCCATGATGATCACGTGACAGCATAATATAGTCCAACCGACGAGGCCCATCCTTACCGACAAAGGTGTGACCTGCTTCGTGCGGGTTGAAGGTGTTCTCGATGTAAAGGCCCGTGTTAGTGGCGAACTGCAGGCAGGCGCGGGCGGCTTCATCTGCGACCGTGGGCGCACAGGCAGGGTGCTCATGTCCCACAACGATGTCCTCCAGGGTCTCGGAGTAGACAGTGTGGCTGGGGATGTTGGCATTGCAGTCCCCAAGCAAAATGGTCGGCGGCCACTTCTCGGCAAGACCACTAAGGTCCCGCCACCAGCTGGCAAGTTGAATTTCCCGATGGCCTTTGTAAGGGGCATGTACAACATAGACAATCTCGTAGATACAGCAGGTCTCAATCTTTACGACAAGGACGCGAGAAGATCGGTGAAGAACACGAATGTCACCACGTCTGAAGAGCTTTGGTCCTCTAGGTCCTGTAGAGTAAGCCTTGGTCATGTTGATGAGGAGGCTGACTCCAAGCTGGTGCTCAGGCTGCCCTCCACCTACGATAAGAAATCCATCTCTGAGGACCCCATCTTCGAGAATCGGCGTCTCCTGGCACCCAATTAAATGCGCACCCATGTCCTGCAGCTGCAAGCGGAGAGCACGTGGACGGAAGGCTCGCGTCTGGCTCGCAGGATGTCGCGGCTCAGGTGCCTCCATTGCAATGTTGGCCTTCTGGAGGTTGACCGAGATCAGCGACAAAGAGATAGAGTACTTGGCAGTCTCACGAGGCTGCTCCGCTGGAGGAGCAGGGTACGGGCACCTTTGAAGTCGCCATTCACAATGTATACCATGCTGATCAACAAGAGGATAGGCATGGGCATCTGGATGAAGGTGGTCGCGGTAGCTGGCCCAATACCATGCAGAAGAGTTCGTAAGCTTCACGATGAGATTCTCAGGAAGCGAGGGACCATGCTGATGTCGCATGCTCTTGGCAATAACGTCGCAGCACTCGTTCCATGGGTCTCCTTCGTGACCGTGTGTATGAGCAATGGTGATGTCGCGGTGGGTCTTGAGGAAATCGTAGAGGTGGCAGGCGATCGGCGCAAAGGGATCAGATGACCCACACCTCCGAGTGACAGTGTCTATAGCA